AGAAGAAGAAAGATCTTGAAGAAGTTGCAAGAGCGGAAAGAGATGAGAAAGCCTTGAACATCATATTCATGAGTGTAGGAGATCATGTTCTTAGGAAGCTTGACAAGTGTACTACGGCGCTAGAAGCTTGGGAGCTACTGGATAAGCTATACATGGCGAAGACTCTCCCAAACAGAGTCCATGCTCAACTCAAAGTTTACTCATTCCGGATGCAAGATTCAAAGACAATCGCTCAGAACGTGGACGACTTCCTCAAGCTAATTACGGATCTCAACAATCTCAATATTGAGATACCAGAGGAAGTGCAAGCTATTCTACTACTCAATGCTTTGCCAAACAGGTATGATTCTTTAAAAGAAACGCTTAAGTATAGCAGAGAGGCTATTAGAGTAGATGAAGTAGCTAGTGCGGCTAAGTCTAAGGAGATGGAATATAAGGATGCCCCTAGTTCTAAGTCTGTTGGGGAAGGGAATTTTGTTCGGGGTAGAACAGAGAATAGGAGCTATAACTCTTATGCAGGTAAAGGAAACAACAGAAACAGGTCAAGGTCAAAGTCCAGAGATGGCAAAGATAACAAACGAGTCTGTTGGATTTGTGGTAAAGAAGGGCATTATAAGAAGCAATGCTACAAGTGGCTTGACAGAAACAAGAATCAGAGACAAGGTTCTGACAGGGGTGAGTCGTCACTGGCTAAAGATGATGCAAAGGATTTGGTAGGTCTGTTGGTTGCAGAAGTGAACTCAGTGGAATCAGATAGAGACGAATGGGTTATGGACACAGGGTGTTCCTTTCACATGACTCCGAGGATGGATCTATTCATTGATATGAAGGTTACAGATGGAGGCAGAGTTCGTATGGCAAATAATACAATCTGTGAGGTTAAGGGAGTTGGCTCTATCAGGTTTGAAAATCCAGACAAGACTACCTTTGTGCTACATGATGTCAGATATATGCCGGGCATATCTAGAAATTTGATATCATTGGGAAGTCTTGAAGAAAAAGGCTGCGAGTTTAAATCTGCGAAAGGGTTACTTAAAGTGATTAAGGGGTGTACGGTGTTTATGAAAGGTGTTAGGAAGTACTCTTTGTACATTCTACAGGCTTCTGCGAAGGTGACAGGTTACAATATAGGAGAAACGAGTAATGTGACTACAGAGAAGAGTAATCAGGTTTCAGATATTCAGTTGTGGCACAGTCGGATGGGTCATCTTGAACAGAAAGGTATGGAAATGCTAATCAAGAAGGGTTGTCTTGGAGAGTTGAAGAAAACTGAGATGAGTTTCTGTGAAGATTGTGTTTTTGGTAAAACACATAAAGTGAGTTTCGGACCTGCACTTCATGTTACCAAAGCTAAGCTTGATTACATACATTCGGATTTGTGGGGTTCACCGAATGTTCCACCAAGTTTAAGCCGAGCTCAATATTTCCTTACCTTTACAGATGATTTCTCAAGAAAGGTATGGATATATTTCCTCAAGCACAAGGATGAAGCTTTTGACTGTTTTGTCACTTGGAAGAAAATGGTGGAGACTCAGAGTGAAAGGAAGATTAAGAAGCTACGTACAGACAATGGACTTGAGTTCTGTAATATCCAATTCAATACGTTTTGCAAAGAAGAAGGAGTGGTTAGACATCGTACGTGTACTTATACACCGCAGCAGAACGGAGTGGCAGAACGACTTAACAGAACAATCATGAACAAGGTTCGGAGCATGTTAAGTGAGAGTGGTTTTGAAGTAAGATTCTGGGCTGAAGCTGCGGCAACTGCAGTGTACTTGATTAATAGATCACCATCTTCTTCTATTAATTTTGATATACCAGAAGAGAGGTGGACTTCAGTAACTCCAAATTTTAAAGGATTAAAGAGATTTGGATGTCTGGCGTTTGTACATACAAGTGATGGGAAGTTGAATCCAAGGGCTAAGAAGGGTTACTTCACAGGTTATCCAGAGGGAGTTAAAGGTTTTAAAATCTGGATGCCAGAGGAAAAGAAAGTGATCATTTCACGGGATGTTTTGTTTAGGGAAGAAAAGCTTTACAAGGATACTAAGAGTGAAGTTACGTCTCTTGATGGATTGAAGGAAGATATGTCAGATCATATTAGTATGGAGCTCTCTGAGGAATCAAAAACAGAGATTAATCCTGAAGGTGGAGCTACTGACGTAGAAGTATCAGAAGAGAATAAAGATGTTTCAACTGAGGAAGAAGAAAATCTTGACAACTATCAACTTGCGAAGGATAGAACAAGAAGAGAAGTGAGACCACCAAAGAGATTTGAGGATTATGAATGTGAAGCAGCTGATGGTGAGGACATTTACGCGTGCTATATTTGTGATTTGCCAGAAGATGCAAGTATAGAACCAGCTTCATACAGAGAAGCAATGGAAGATCCTGATAGTGATTTTTGGAGAGAAGCTGCAGTAGATGAGATGGCGTCGTTGAGAAAGAATGGAACCTGGGTACTAGTGGATAAGCCTAAGGACCAAAAGACAATAGGCTGCAAATGGGTGTTTAAACGGAAACCTGGTATTATTGGAGTTGAACCTCCTCGATACAAAGGAAGGCTAGTTGCAAAGGGCTATTCTCAACAGGAAGGGATAGATTTCCAAGAGATATTTGCACCAGTCGTCAAGCATGTATCAATTCGATATATGTTATCTGCTGTGTCTCATTTCAACATGGAGCTTCAACAAATGGATGTTAAAACTGCGTTTTTACATGGCCTGTTAGATGAGACGATTTACATGGATCAACCCGAAGGTTTCGTTGATAAAAAGAATCCTCAGAAGGTGTGTTTGTTAAAGAGGTCTTTGTACGGGTTGAAACAGTCACCTCGACAATGGAATAAGAGGTTTGATGATTTTGTTAGAGCTCAAGGTTATGTCAGAAGCGAGTATGATCAGTGTGTATACTTCAGGAGGAATGATAAGGGAATCTATGTGTATATGCTGTTGTACGTGGATGATATTCTGATTGCTTCAACAGATAAGAAGCAAGTGGGTCATTTAAAGAAGATCTTAGGCTCGGAATTTGAAATGAAAGATCTCGGGGATGCAAAGAAGATCTTAGGAATGGAGATTTACAGAAACAGAGAGACAAATGAGTTGTGGGTTTCTCAAGAGAGTTATCTATGGAAGGTACTTACTAATTTTGATATGGATCAGTCGAAACAAGTATCAACACCAATGGGAGCTCATTTCAAGCTTAAGTCAGGAACAGAGAAGGAGTTAAAAGAACAAGAAGACTACATGAAGAAGATTCCTTACAAGAGTGCTGTGGGAAGTGTTATGTATGCGATGGTTGGAACTCAGTTGGATCTGGCTTATTCAGTTGGTTTGATAAGTAGGTTTATGGCAAAACCATTGAAAGAGCATTGGCAGGCAGTTAAGTGGTTACTGAGATATGTTAAAGGAACTGTTGATACTCGGTTATGCTATAGAAAGAAAGGAGAGTTTGTCATTAGAGGATATTCTGATTCTGACTACAATGGAGATTTAGATCAGAGAAGATCTACTTCTGGTATGGTGTTTACCGTAGGTGGGAATGCTATAAGTTGGAGATCATCACTTCAGAAAGTAGTGGCACTTTCGACTACCGAGGCAGAGTACATTGCATTGTCTGATGCAGTGAAAGAAGGTGTATGGCTCAAGCGGTTTGCAGAAGAGTTAGGATTTCCTCAAGAATCAGTGGAGATATATTGTGATTCACAAAGTGCAATAGCACTGTCGAAGAATGCGGTTTATCACGAGAAGACTAAGCATGTTGCAACTAAGTATCACTTTATTCGTGATCTTATAGCAGCTGGTGAAGTTCAAGTTTTGAAAATAGCGACTGAGCATAATCCTGCAGATATATTTACAAAAGTGTTGCCAGTGTATAAGTTCAGGGAAGCATTGAGGTTGCTTCGAGTTGGTAAGAACTAAGCTGTTTTAAGAAATAAGATTGCAGCTGGTAGAAGTTGCAATGGTCCGGTAAAGGATGCAGAGAGAAAGCTGTCCGGTAAATGGTTCAGGGAAGGTGTCTCGGTTTCAGAGGTACAAGTTGATTCATCAAGCTTCATGAGGTATATTCTTGAAAATAGTATCTTGTCTAAGGTGGAGATTTGAAGGTTGTAGACAAGATAGAAACACTCTAGTTGTTACAGAAGGTTTAGGTTTAAGTTGGTATTATAGATAGGATTGTAATTGTCCGGTTAAGTCTGTAATAGTCATTAAACCAGGCTCTCTCTTTAGTAAACCGAACGCGTGTGTGTACGTATTGGTTTAGCTAGTTTTACTNAACTCTGATGAACTGAAGAAGTTTGTTACAGTCTCAGAATCAAGATAGAGAGAGAGCTAGGTCATCTTTGTAACGGAGCTCGCTTGTGTAGCTAAGAGTGTTGCTGGTTCGATCCCAGCTCCGGAGAGATATAGCGGCCAACATCTTGTTAACGGTGTTGGTGCGGTGAACTCCGGGTCAACAGATTGTTGTGTTGTTCGGGTTTACGGTTACAAGATTCAAGGAAGATCCGATTTGATCTTCACAAACAGTCTTCTAAAAAGATTTTTTTTCAAATGAACTGAGAAACACATAAATTTGCTGTGGACGAGTGGAGCCGCAGATGAACGTAAAGTCTAGGTTAGTAACATTGAAAACGCCGAACTCTTCATGTTCGAATAAAATTTGTGTGTTGTTGAATTTCTGTTCATAAACCTTTATCCCTTCTAACATGAAACTTTCGAGGAGGATAGTTCACCAAGAAAATAAAAAGATACAAGATGTTTTCTACGTTAGTATATTTTTTGGAGCATAGCAAAGTCGAAATAATAAAAAAAAAAATACTTTTTTTTTGGCTAGACGAGAACCACGTTACGTTTCTTGCAAAATCATAACTTTTTTTTTTTCCAGACCTTCAATCCATTTTATAATTACGTGTAGTAATTGATAGATTCAGAAAATTGCCATATATAAATATACAAATATACAATATTTTTTCCTAAATAGTAATATTGTGTGTTCTACAAGAAATGAAACATTTTTATTTTATTTTCTCCTCGGACATAAGATAAAACAAGACAACTCTTTATTTCGTCTCTCCGACAGTAGCAGTCTTCGCCGGGAATTTTTTTTTTCTCCGGTAGCCATGCTCCGAACTATCTCTTGTTCCGCTTCTCTCAGCTCTTCCTCTCCCTTCTTCCGCTTCTTCCGCCACTTCCCTCGCTCCCTATCATCGTCTACAGCCACTCTCCGTGGCCCTGCTCGCAACCTTCGCCGGATTTCATCTCCTTCAGCCGCCGGAAGACGTGTCTTCCTCCGACGAGGGTTTAGGGTTTCTTCCCCCGCAGGTGGCGGTGTCAATGGGAAGTTCTCTCGCCTCTCTGTTCGCGCCGTCGCCACACAACCCGCACCATCTTATCCTGGTAAACAAAAAAAAGATTCTCACTTTATCCACTCTTGTTTGTGAAAGTTCGAATCTTTGAATAGACCCTTCTCTTAGTTTGGGATTCAGATTGTTTCCTCGTTAGTGGATTAAGATTAGTTGATGATGTTCCTTACAGAAGATTAGGATATGTCTGATTTGATTTGTTCCACTTGTGAACTTAAGGTTGAATGATATGTTGTGTTGTTGGGGTTCAGATGTAAGTCAAGATGAGGCTGAGAAGCTTGGGTTTGAGAAAGTATCTGAAGAGTTTATCTCAGAGTGTAAATCAAAGGCGACTCTCTTTAAACACAAGAAAACTGGTTGTGAGGTTATGTCTGTATCAAATGAGGATGAGAACAAGGTGTTCGGCATTGTTTTAAGGACTCCTCCGTAAGTTTTACTACTTCAAAATTGATCACTCTCTTTTTTTTTATCCAGCTTGGCGATTTAAGTACTGTTGGTCCTTTGTTTAATTGCAGAAAAGATTCCACTGGCATTCCGCACATACTGGAACATAGCGTTCTATGTGGATCAAGAAAGTACCCGCTTAAAGAGCCATTCGTTGAACTACTTAAGGGAAGCTTGCATACTTTCCTTAACGCCTTCACGTATCCTGATAGGACCTGTTACCCAGTTGCTTCCACAAACACAAAGGTACAATGAGCAGCGAAATATAAAGGACTTCTTGTGTTTTGTCCTCAAGGAGATCAGCCTCTTTCTGATTTTGTCTGATCATGTATCGTCACTATTTATGGTAGGACTTTTACAATCTGGTCGATGTGTATTTGGATGCTGTTTTCTTCCCCAAGTGTGTGGAGGACGTTCACACTTTTCAGCAAGAGGGCTGGCACTATGAGCTTAATGATCCCTCTGAAGACATATCTTACAAAGGTTTTATATTTAGAGTTCTTCCTATCTACTTATAGTGTCTTAGTATTGATGTTATCTCTTTGTTTGTCTACTACTTCATATACGTCCTCATCCTATCGCATCGTTGGTGCTTGATTTCAGGTGTTGTATTTAATGAGATGAAAGGTGTCTATTCACAGCCTGATAATATTTTAGGGCGAATTGCTCAGCAGGTCAGTTTTATGTTTTGTTTACTTACTGACAGTCTAATTTTAGAGTCATTACCTTTGTGTGTGCAGTTGAATGTTTCTTAAACCACCTAATCATGCTTGCATTAAATACTCATATTATCACTATCCAGTTGTATTAGATTTGAATTTAAATGTAGTCCTAAGTTGGTATTTTTGATCTTACTAATCTACTAAATGGTGTAGCCATTGTAGATATGAAATCCATCTTTCTTGAGAATGACACTTGGTCCTGAAAACCTTATTAGATAATCCGAAAATCATTTTTCAGTATAGTTGTTCTGATGAAATCACTTACTACTTTTGATTAGGCCTTATCTCCAGAAAACACATATGGTGTTGACAGTGGAGGTGATCCAAAAGATATCCCTAAGCTGACATTCGAGGAGTTCCAGGTTTGTCAAAAGTCAAATTATTCTGCTAGTAGCTAGAGGAGCGTCATTATATGTATAATTTCTGATGCATAGTATTTACATTTCTTGGTATGGGGAAACTTTAGGAGTTCCACCGTAAGTATTATCACCCAAGCAACGCCAGAATCTGGTTCTATGGAGATGATGATCCAGTTCAGCGCCTTCGTGTCTTGAGTGGTAAAGAGTGATACCTCTACTTCTGCGTTATTAGAATTAATCCTCTTATTGACTTCAGTTGATTTTGAAGTATATCTTCTCTCCCTTTCTTATATGTGCAGAATACTTGGACATGTTTGAAGCAAGCCCATCTCGAGATAGTTCAAAGATTGAAACTCAAAAGCTTTTCTCTAAACCTATCAGAATAGTTGAGAAATATCCCGCTGGTCGAGATGTTGATCTCACAAAGAAAAACATGGTGTGCGTTAACTGGCTATTGTCCGAGAAGCCCTTGGACTTGCAAACTCAGCTCGCACTTGGGTTCTTGGATCATCTTATGCTGGGAACTCCTGCTTCACCACTAAGGAAAATATTGCTGGAAAGCGGTTTAGGAGAAGCTCTTGTCAGTAGTGGGATGTCAGACGAACTTCTGCAGCCCCAGTTCAGTGTTGGGATGAAAGGTGTGTCTCAAGATAACGTTCAAAAGGTTGAAGAGTTGATCATGGATACCCTGAAGAAGCTGGCAGAAGAAGGGTTTGACAATGATGCTGTGGAGGCATCCATGAATACAATTGAGTTTTCTCTGAGGGAAAACAATACAGGATCTTTCCCTCGTGGTCTATCTCTTATGCTCCAATCTATTGTAAGTTTATATACCCTTTTATGCTTGTGTTCTATCTATTTAGAGATCTCTCCTTGTCTGATTATTGGCTGTTTAGGCAAAATGGATATACGATATGGATCCTTTTGAGCCATTAAAGTACACGGAACCATTGAAAGCCCTGAAAGCCAGGATAGCTGAGGAAGGTTCCAAGGCTGTCTTTTCTCCATTGATAGAGCAGTTTATTTTGAATAACTCGCATCGTGTTACCATAGAGATGCAGGTATTTATTTTCTTTTACAAGTTTATGTATCTAATGTCTTTTTTTTTTAGTTTTGTGCTAACATCTTGTATATTGTCAGCCTGATCCTGAAAAAGCTTCACAAGAGGAAGCGGAAGAGAAAAGTATTCTGGAAAAAGTCAAGGCAGGTATGACAGAAGAGGATCTTGCAGAGCTAGCGCGTGCTACAGAGGAGCTGAGATTGAAACAAGAGACTCCTGACCCTCCTGAAGCACTGAGATGTGTCCCAAGTTTGAGCTTGAGTGACATCCCAAAAGAACCTACTTATGTTCCCACTGAGGTAATCAGTTTGCTGGGCTTTGCTTTTGTTGTATTTCCTTAAATTTCTGGAGCATGCAAATTTTACTGATATGAAATTGTAAACAATAGGTTGGAGATATTAATGGTGTGAAGGTTTTGCGGCATGACCTCTTCACAAATGATATTGTCTACGCCGAAGTAGTCTTTGATATGGGTTCGCTGAAACATGAGCTTCTTCCACTAGTACCACTTTTCTGGTATGCTTTAAGCTCTCTTGTGATATTCCTTTGAGTTTTTACTAAGTTCACTTCACTTGAAATGCTAAGTGATTGTTGTTTGACACAGTCAATCACTAATGGAGATGGGCACAAAAGATTTGAGTTTTGTGCAACTGAATCAGTTGATTGGAAGGAAAACTGGAGGAATATCAGTTTATCCCCTTACCTCATCTGTGAGGGGCAAGGCTGAACCTTGCAGCAAATTTGTTGTACGTGGAAAATCGATGGCTGGGCGTGCTGAAGACCTTTTTAACCTGGTACTTTGTCTTTTAACATCCTTCACTTCAATCTTGTCGCATTTTTTCTCTAGATTTCTACATGTTGGGTTATCGAATACGTAGAGCCCTCTACCTTATTAATCTTGCTTTCTTGGGTCTCCAAGAGATATAGTGCAGCTTTCTATTGTATGGACCTGATCGCTTAGTTGACTCTTATCTTCATTGCATCTTGTCTTGCTGCAGATGAACTGCTTGTTGCAAGAAGTTCAGTTTACAGATCAGCAGCGGTTCAAACAGTTCGTCTCTCAAAGCATAGCACGGATGGAGGTAAGTAGTAGAAATTTTTCTTTCTGTCTTTTGCATGATTTGTGGAACTGTAACTAGTAATGTAAACATTATTTTTCATTCTACGCAGAATCGATTGAGAGGAAGTGGTCATGGAGTTGCTGCTGCGAGGATGGATGCAATGTTGAACGTTGCTGGATGGATGTCTGAACAGATGGGTGGTCTCAGGTTAGAACTTGATCATTCTTGATAATTCTCTTTACTGAGAATGAATTTTAATATTCACATTTAAGAGTTTTTCTCTAATATCCTTTTTGAGACTTGAAGAAGGTAACAGAGTTGAGCATCTTTCTTTTGTAGTTACCTTGAATTCTTGCATACTCTTGAAAAGAAGGTGGATGAAGACTGGGAAGGGATATCATCTTCTCTTGAAGAGATCAGGAGATCTCTCCTTGCCAGGAACGGTTGCATAGTTAACATGACTGCAGATGGCAAGTCTTTCACCAACATAGAAAAATCTGTTGAGAAGTTTCTAGATTTACTCCCTGAAACTCCATCTGGTGGGCTAGTCACTTGGGACGGTCGACTTTCTCTCAGAAACGAAGCCATTGTAATACCAACCCAGGTAAAAGACTATTTATACAGAATGTGTTTGGGTTTAGGGTTTTTAATATAGTAGTGAACTTGCTTTCATACTCTTTTTGGCAGGTTAACTATGTTGGAAAAGCAGGTAACATATACAGCACAGGGTATGAGCTTGATGGAAGTGCATATGTGATATCAAAGCATATTAGCAATACATGGTTATGGGACCGTGTACGTGTAAGTGGTGGTGCATATGGAGGTTTCTGTGATTTCGATTCACATTCAGGTTAAAATCTGCTTTTACTTTTCTTCCTTGGAATGCTTTTAAAGAGTTGTCCTAAAAAACATATTGGATGTTTCTTTGTTTCAGGAGTGTTTTCGTTCTTGTCTTACCGTGATCCAAACTTGTTGAAGACACTTGACATATATGATGGAACTGGAGACTTCTTACGTGGCCTTGATGTGGATCAAGAGACGCTCACTAAAGCTATCATTGGAACCATCGGTGATGTTGATTCATACCAGTTACCTGATGCCAAAGGTTATAGCAGGTAAAAATGATTTACTTGGCATCTATTTGAACGAACATTATGGATTGTGAGTTAACAAATTGTCAAATCTCTTTCAACCAGTTTGATGAGGCATTTACTTGGAGTAACAGACGAGGAAAGGCAAAGAAAGCGTGAAGAGATACTAACAACAAGGTTAGTTACAGACATTGTCAATAGTTTTTCCGTAGCATTTTATGTTATATGATTAAAAGATGTTAATATGGTTTTTTTGATCTTCTCTTTGTTCCACAGCTTAAAAGACTTTAAGGAGTTCGCAGAAGCAATAGATGTGGTTAGAGACAGAGGTGTTGCGGTGGCTGTGGCATCCGCAGAAGACATTGATGCGGCGAACCAAGCACGTTCCAACTTCTTCGAGGTTAAGAAAGCTCTCTAAGTTGACAACTTTTACTGTGATAAGATTGAGAATCTCTTTTAGATTTGTTTCTCTACTGCCAGTGAATGTCTTGGCAAAGCTAATATATTATTTGCCCAACAGTATGGACGTTCACAAATAATAATGAAGCATTTCTTTCACTTTCAACTTATTTTCGCTGTTGAAAATTATCAGAAACTTTTACAAAAAATGAGTATTGATATTTGAAATTGTTTAGACGATCATTTCAGTTCATGTAATCGCCGAGTTACTTCATTAATCTGATTATTAGAATTTCTCAACCATTCAAATATTAAATAGTCTTTCTTGCTGATCAACTATGCAGTCACCAACTCATAATATCTCTGTTGGATAATTTCGCTTAAAAGCTTTACTAAAAAGTCTACATCAAAATCTAAATAACTTTACCTAATAATCCTACCAACAGTTAACAATATAACTTGTATCAATATTATTAAGTATTTTTATTTTTGAACCAAATATCCGTTAAATAGTTACGTCTTTCCTTGTCGTATAATTTACAAAATGTTATATTCGTGAAATAATTGGATTTAAATGGAAATTTAATTCAGGAGTTTAATGTTATAACTTTGTTTAGGTGTTAACAATATAACTTGTATCAATATTATTAAGTATTTTTATTTTTGAACCAAATATCCGTTAAATAGTTACGTCTTTCCTTGTTCGTATAATTTACAAAATGTTATATTCGTGAAATAATTGGATTTAAATGGAAATTTAATTCAGGAGTTTAATGTTATAACTTTGTTTAGGTGTTAAATTCTTACAATATAACATTTTGTAAATTTAAAATAATTTATATTCAATGCAATAACATTGAACTCCTAAATTATTTAAATGTTTTTTCCGCGTATAATTTACAAAATGTTATGTTATTGAAATAATTTGATTTAAATGGACATTTTAATTTAGGAGTTTAATGTTATAAAAGAGTTATAAAATTAAATACACTTTGTTTATGCAATTAAGACAATGGGAAAATGAAAAGTGGAACCCCAGCATTTACTGTGTTAGAGAGGGGATTGAGACAATTGCTTTTAACATGTTGTGCATGGCCTGCCCTTGACATTATCTAATCAGCCCTACATGAACAAACACAAACAGTATGATGCATTGTTTAGAAACGACAATAATGTGTATATTAATTTTTGGGTATATATTAGTTTTGTAACTTTTGTTGTTGTATATTCTCTTCTGGTTTTGACATCCATGTGTTTAGAGCATGATTATTCCTATAAACCCATAAAATTTATTAAGTACATTTTAATGATTTATTTAACTAATAAATTTTAGCTAAGGACCTTAGTTAAAAATCATTTAATTTTTGTGTTATAATGGTAGTTTCTTAATTTGGATTTCTTAAAAAAAAATATGTACAAGATTATGTTAAAGAGAGAAATTTTATAATTGACAAAATCAGCTAGATGATCACTAAAATCTACAAGTAGATGATCACAAACTCTTAAACTAAAACAGGAATCGAACTTCAAGTATCTTTGCAAAACACCAATGCATTATCACCACTTCCTACCCAACGCCAATAATAGAAATTGACAATCATCCTAAAGAGTGAGTTGCTGCAAAATTACCTGTTGGTGCTTCTCAAGACCTTCCCAGTCTTTGATTATAGTCAGGGAAAATGTTTTCAGCCAATACTATCTCTTATCAGAAACCTGAAAAATTCACAAGGTAAGGTCGTGAAGACCAGAGCCGGCCCTTAATGGAAGCGAGAGAAGCCACTGCTTCCAGCCGCAAAATAATATGTATTTTACCGGCCACATTTAGACAACCAAGTCATAGTAGCATTACTGGTTGTGTTGCTGTTGTATACATAACAGGTTGAGGGTTTGAAACACCTCTCCTGTATTTCAGCCACATTTTTTATTTTGGCTTGTAGTCTTTAGATTTGTAGGACCGGCTCTACTGAAGACAGTTCTCACGATTATTAATCGCACAAGACGGTAAGAAAAACAAAAAGAAAACAATGAGGCCTTGAATTCTGACTTCACTTTTATTGCAGCACGGTTATTACGCAGGACAATACATGTACGTATAGTATCATTGACACTTGAATCAACAAAGATAGCCTGCTTCGTACTAGCTTCTAGCTCATGTTGTATCCTAAAAACATGTAGCAAATAAAAACAACAGATCAAAAGACCATTAGATGTTGAAAAAAGAGTACATTCACTATCAGGTTTCCATTGCCTCAGGAGTTTTGCGTGCTCCTCGGCAGCTTTAGACTCGAAAGTATGTTCCTTTGTCTGAGAGAAAAGGTTGTTGGCTTTCTCTATTAGTTTTATCCGTGGACCTTGCAGCGGAGATCCTTTGCTAGCCATTGGGGTTTTCCCCATATCCCATGATTCTTTCCATAAAAGGAAAGCTACCTCCTGAAACAACCAGTATTCATTTGATGGTCAACTTCCAACACTTTAACAAACTGAACAAAGAAAATAAATCAAGGAACAGCAACTAGATCGTGATATTTACATGAATCTGACTCGTTCATAAAAAGAAATCCTGTTTATGACACCTACAGGAGAAATAGTTTTGTAACATAGTTAGATACAAAATATGAACAAGGTAATCAAGTCAAATATGCATAAGCTACAAATAAATTACGTGCCAAAACTCTGCCTTGGATCATCGCAAAGAACTCCAAAGGAGGCCTCTGGCCAACCCCCAAAAGTAAATAAAAAAAACAGCTAGTTCTTGTTTGTTAGCACAGCATAACATATAGATTGATAGCTAAAGTGTACATAAGAAAATAAACTATTCACACACCTTTTGCCAAATATGAAATATAACAAGAAAAACCAGGTCAGTGTCACCACTCTCAGTTGCTTTCACTAAAGCGGTATCAGAAAGTGACCACAAAACATGTGAAACTAAGCGTTTACACAAGTTATTAGATGAATGTTCTTTTTACTTCTGCATGAGGAATCCTAGTAGGAAGTGGTTATCTTAGATAGACAAACCTGTTTGGTAGAGCGTGGTTCATGTTCAACTAGCGTTGCAGCCAACTTTCGACGGCCACAGTTATCAGCATGAGTGGCCACTGCAGCATAAGATATTCCTCTACATAGTTGGAGCTGAAAATTCAATGTAACATCGTCCCTCTTAAATCCATGTGTTTCCTCTATCTCTATTTACATATCTTGCAAAGACTAAGAAAAAAAAACTAGAGTTTGAACCTTATCAAGTAAAATTTCAAGAAGATGAGCATCTGGAGTTGATTCTTTGCACACGCCCAATAATAGAAATTCACAATCATCCTAAAGAGTGAGTTTCAGAGTGAAAGTAGAATATCGTCTGACTTACTTTATTCATCCCTAAGTACTCAGATATCAACATAGCAAGAAGGTGGGAATGAGCATTTATCAGGCGACTCAAAACCACTGGTGTCATCAGTAACTGCAATCCATATAAATTCCATGAGGAAATTAAAGAGTACCTGCAAACACTGTCTTTGTGGAGAAAAGTATATAAACTATAAAGACCTTGTACTGCTGAATGCTAAGAGGTATGCCAATGTCAGGATCACGAACAGCATTCAGAACCCTCAAAGTTCTACAAGTCTCTTGGACATGGTCACGCTGAAAAATTGCTGTTACAATTCACTGAGAGTTAGTCAATTTTTTTTTAAAGACTAACCTGCTGAAAGCTTGTCCATAACTTCCTCATCTTCCCCACTCCAGACCTAATCCCAATACTATCCTTAGCCTTCTCAGCGTCCAATCGGTCCCCAAAATTCTTTCTTAAGGATCGGTAACATTCTTTTTATTTAGTTTAGATTTAATTAAATGAGTTTATTTTCTTAAGAAACTTGTTAAGGACCAGCGATAATTATGGTCCAGCAAGTATGGGGATTAATAAGAGGCTTGAGTAGTAGAGTATTAAGCGATCTTCTGCAAAAGTGGAACCAGCAAGTATGGGGATTAATAAGAGGCTTGAGTAGTAGAGTATTAAGCGATCTTCTGCAAAAGTGGAACCACTATTTAAAGGGATGAGTCTTTGTTAATAAATTGATATATTCACTTCTAGGATTCCATTGAAGAATCAAAAACAAAACAACCTTTTCCAAATAAGACCACACCTAAAAATCCATAAAACCTATAATCCTTAAATCTAATAACTCTATGAGGAGAGAATATTTTCACATTGCCATGCACTCAAAACCTAACCCAGCTTTGTATGGACCTCACACACATTTTCCCGGTAAATATGTAGACTACATATTCAGAAAAATGCTTGTTTTTGCCAAATGAGAGAGACCAGTGATTAACCTTCTTTTTTTTTTTGAATGTTAAATTATATTCAAGACAAAAAAAAACTGCTTTGCATCTAATGCTACATCTTTAGAGCTTTAAAAGAATGAAAGAAATTGGTTAGAAATGTGAAGAAGATGTGCTCCTTTGCAAGGTGATAGATTCTTCAAGTGGAATAACTCCATCAACCCTGAGTGTATATCCTGGAGGAATAAGGACATGTGAAGAAGATGTGCTCCTTTGTTTCCAGCTGATTTTTGCAGAATATACACTCAGGGTTAATGGAGTTAGCACTTGTGCCACCGTAGCATGCTCACTTATGCCAAGATCAATGTACCCTCAAGTACCTAGCAAATCCAACAGACATCCCTGGAACGACCAAAAATCATACAAGAAAGAGGTATTTACACCGCTGTTTACTTCTACTTTATAAAACTGTTTAGCTAGAGCTCTATGTTTCAGAAAATTTTTCCCCACATCCATGAACCACAAGTAGGGATGTTACCAGTGATTTACTTTCACGCAGGATCTTTCATGTGACCCAAAAACAAACATGACGAATCTCCTCGCAAATCATCTGAAAAAACACTGAATGATCAAGCAAAGCAAACCAAAAACATTTCTAGGTTATCCGTTATGAACTTATGATAATCTTTCACAGAAAGGTACAATTAAGTTCTATATGAAATAGGATTTTTTCCTGAAAACTAAAAAAACATATAATTCTGAACAAACTACAAACAAAAGAAGAATATCCTCACATCTAATAGAGAACCGTCGCCATCGAATGAAACAAGAATTGACGATTAGTTTAATTGTTCTGTGCTTCTCTTCTGAATCATTGGGCGACGTTTCAGATTAGTTTAATTGTTCTGAATCGTAATGATGACAAGGTTATTCAAGATTAGGGTTTTCATTTTTCTTTCGACACATGTCGACTTTTCCAGCCCTAACGAGTTGCCAGCTGGTCCTCTTTTGTGTATTCGATTCTCGTATACAAAATAGTAAAATGTACAAGATATTTCCCTCATTAAGCAGATAAAACTAGTTCCACTACATTGGTTCGATTAAAATGTAAAAAGCTTCAATGGTAACAAAATCAATACTAGCTAGTGCAAAAGATTAGAAAATCAATGATATATCTAAGCATTAAATAAATCAATAAAAATAGGCAAGAATGAGTGATAATGATATATCGTGTTTCTTATTTTAGAATCTAAAAAAAAACTATTTTGCCACTAGCTCATTTGTGATAGGTTCAACATTTATAATTTAGTGATATAAGTTCAAGAAAATAAAAAAAAAGATCTCAGCTGATGTACATTCTCTTTACTGAATTTACTCCAATAAAAGCATGCAAATCTACAAGTATTATATCTAACCTTATAGATCAACTTCTCAAAGATCCTTTTCATTTTTTATTTTTTTTTGTTCAGTTTATAAAAAGCACACCATTACTAGACTCATGAGGCAGAACTAGATAAAAGTTATAGAAGAAAAAGTAAACAGCATTTCTCCTCCCGGGCAGACATGCAAGCACTTACCTCTTCCTTCTTCTCTTGTTCCCTCGTCCCAACCACTCCTATGCGACCTCGAGGGCGACCACTTTCAGTTCCTCCCGTGAAAGTTTGCATGGACAATTCACGCAAGGAGAAAGTGGTTGTCATAATGGGATCCACCGGGACAGGGAAGTCACGCCTCTCGGTCGATCTTGCAACCCGTTTCTCCGCCGAGATCATCAACTCAGACAAGATGCAATTCTACAAGGGGTTGGAGATCACCACGAATCAAATCACCATCCCTGAGCAATGTGGAGTCCCTCACCATCTACTCGGTGAGCTTCCTGTGGATGGCCCTGAATTAACTGCCTCGGAGTTCCGCTCTTTGGCGTCAGGGTCGATCTCTGAGATAACATCTCGTGGGAAGCTCCCTATAATAGCTGGTGGATCCAACTCCTACATTCATGCCCTCCTTGTTGAACATTTTGATCCTGAAACCAATCCATTCGCTAAGCCATCGGTTTCTTCCGAGTTGAGGTATGATATATACTAGTATATATCTTGAATGTTTTTTTTTTTTGAGAAATATATAAGTCTTGAATGTTTTTTTTTTTTTTGAGAAATATATATGTCTTGAATGTTTGTTTGTGTTAACGTCATGTTTGCAATTAGTAGTTTAATTTGCTTCAAAAAAGTTCAAAACGAATTCAAATCTTAAAACGTATTAGACCATTGTTTATATTTGAACATGAAATGTCAAACGCAATTGGAAGAACAGTTTTCTGTTTGCATGTAATGTCTTGGTAATGTAGCTGTGGATCCTGATCTGCTAAAAAGAAATTTGGTACTCGTTAAAGCCCCCCAAAAAAGGATTTCAATGTACTTTTTGCATGTAACGTTTAACGTTGGCATTTTATAATAAATCTTATAGAATACAGACAAAATGTTTTTGTTTTCAAGTTATAGATCTTCTGTTTGCATGTAACGTCTTGTTAATGTTGTTGTGGATACAAGAGATTGGATCTTGATCTGCTAACAAAGTAATTTGGTACTCTAAAGCCTCCAAAATATTAAAAAGGATTTCAGTGTACTTTTTGCATGTAACGTTTATGTTGGCATTTTATATTTATAATAATCTTATAGAACATACAAAGTGTTGTATTTTTTTTTTCAAGTTTTAGTTTATTCCACATGTATTTTAACTTCATTCTTGCATCATCCATAATCATATATAAAACATTATTGTTTATTTCTTGCTTTGATCAAAAGGTATGATTGCTGCTTCCTCTGGGTGGACGTCTCGGTCTCGGTTCTGTACCACTACCTCTCGGAACGTGTCGACCAAATGCTGGAGTCAGGGATGTTCGAGGAGCTCGCCGAGTTCTACAACTCTAGACACTCCCGGTCCACAAACCGAACCGGGATTCACAAGTCTATTGGGGTACCTGAGTTCGACCAATACTTCGGAGTCTACCCGCCGGAGAAAAAGAACAAGGTGTGTGAGTGGGACCCAGTGAGAAAGGTTACGTACGAGGAAGCAGTACAGAAGATCAAAGAAAACACATGGAGACTTTCAAAGAAGCAGGTGGATAGGATCATGAAGCTGAGAAGCAGTGGTTGGGAGATTCACAGGTTGGACGCTACGGCCTCTTTCAAGGCACAGTCAAGAGAGGTTTGGGACAAGAGCGTTTTGGAGAAAAGCGTCAAGATTGTGAAACACTTCGTTGGCGAACACTAGGTGTTTCAATTTTCCTATCTTTTACCTTATACTATTAATAAATAAAAGTTTTACGATGTGTTGTATTACTCTTTCTCTGTTTCGGTGTATGTTTGAGAAAAACATTTTTGTCGAAAAATAAGTGATGTTATCAATGTTTTAAATAATATAATATATTATAGCAATTTAATTTAAAAATAAAAGGGTTTAGACAATAACAGGAGACCATTGTTTAGATGAGTTTCTCACGTTTCCTTCTCGGTCTCTCAGTGAAGTACGTCCCTCTATTGCTCCTTCTGTTCTGATGGGAGAAGCTTTAGCAGTCCGTCTGGCACTCACTCATGCACTTGTATTGGGTTTCAACAAAGTCTGTGTTTTTTCAGACTGTCAATTGCTCATTAAAGCAATTCTTTCGAAGTCACCACTGGTCGAGCTCTACGGAATTGTCCGGGACATCGAAGTCCTATCTTCTTGCTTTGATTATTGTTCTTTCTCTTTTATCTCTCGTTCTCATAATTCCGAGGCAGCTTTACTAGCTAAGTCGGCGCTCTGTAATGTTGAACTCCTCTCAGGATAGTCTTCTTGAGATGCTATTTTAATTTAAATGTTTTGTGTTCAAAAAAAAAAAATCATGAGAAATTCTCTAGATACTTGTCCACAAAAGGTGCTCTTACCAATTACATATTACTTCAATTTTATTAGTTGAATTATTTTATTTAATAATATTTTAAGTAACTAAGATAAATTTTATAAAACTGACAGTTTATATTTAGTATTTATGCATTAATCTTAAACATCAACGAAAATAAAAGACAGATTATTAAATATTTAGTAATCTTACTGAAAACATCCAGTGAAATTGGAACGGCACATAAATAATTAGCATGACAAACAATACAACAACCATGCATCACTTAATAATCGATTCCAAAATAGTGAACACAATTTATAGCTTGTAGTGCAGAGATATGTTACCATTTCACTGCTTGGTGTATAAACTGTTTACTGGTTGTTAAGCCTTGGAACCTCTGCTTTCCAGATTAACAAGTGTGGATGGAACTCAAAGATAAAAGGTATTTCACTGATGCCATATATCTGTTGCATATTTCAAACACTTACAAGTGACGATTAGTAGATTGGTCTAAATCTCTTATGTATTACTTAAGTTCTTTTTATCTTTGACTGTGAGATCTTTATCCC